ATACCAGGCTGGCCAAAACTTTGATAGACAGGATCGAGGGGCAGACATATACCATTGTCCCTATGATCATTGTAGATATGTACCGGGCCTTGGAACGCTGTTAGAAGGGGTTTAGATTCTTCGAGGGTTGCAATTTGGTGCTGCAAGTTTGGTTGCTAGAACATCTCCAAAAGGGTCAATACCGTCCGGAATTTCCGCGAAGGTCATGGAATGATCACATAGCATTTCATAATCCCAGGAAAATGACCTATATTCCAGATATGTTTGCCCAACCTAAGGATGTTGTAGGATGGGTGCAGTTTTTTAACAAGCTAACTGAGGACCAGGTTCAATGGATGTTCGAGTGCTTCCCTACCGACGAGTTTATCATCAAATCTAGGGATGTTCCCCACTTGGTACTGATTGGGTTAATGGGCATATAACCTTATGCTCCCCTAAGGGTTATGAGACAGGCAGTCAGGAGACAGGTCATACCGCGAGTCACTAAAATGAGTCACTTTATAGCCGACTTTTAGGGTGAATCCATCCTATATAAAAATGAAGCACAACACATGTGACACTTAAAAATTATCATAGAAAAGGATACCATCGAGCCAGATCGATATCATGCGGGTCATACATACTTTTACCCCTCATGGTTGGATGATACCATAGTAGGGATCTCCGAGCCAAGGGTCGTTCCAGGAAACGAGGTTATAGACGAAGTTACTGAAGTACCGGTGAAGTACAACAAATTGCGCAAAAGAATTCGTGAGTCTGAAGCTGAGCATATGGAGCAACATAAGGCCGTGGAAATGATAAATGAGTGGAAATAGATGGCTGTTAAATCCACCGAAAGTCTAGAATATATGGAGTACAATTTGATGGAATTGGAAGGGAAAATGAGAAAGAGAGTCACCGAATTCCAGAACGCTGAGGGAAACAAAGGAGAACATTTGGCAAGGGCATTCTTACTGTTGAACCTACACGAACTGGGGGAACTGATCGACAAGAGCATCCAGTTTGGAGAGGGTCCTTCTAGGACCAAGTAGATTGGGTTTACTTGCTTTTTTAAATGTAATTAGGCCAAGATCCATTACTGACAATATCTTATTTAGTGTTGTTTTGGGTCGTCTATTTTTACATTAATGAAAGGAGGCAATTATTGGAACTAAATTTCTCCAAATATAATTGTCTCTAGGCCTACCTCGGGCATAACGGGGCTCCAAAATTAGGACGCGAATTTACATTCCCACAATATGTGTTTAAATTCCCCAAATTTTTCAAAATCCTTACTAACTTGTTTATCTTTTGTTTTTGGGGAAATACATGGACAGACCCCTAAAGTTGTCCCAATTTTTTATTTTAGCACTTTAACTAGACCTTATTCCTAGTAGACACTCCAACATGATGCAAAGTGTCCCAATTAAACACAAATAGCTGACATGGCAAAAAGGGTGTACCACACTTTCTTTAGGCGCGTGAACTGATCCGAATATTACTTTTCCCTTCTTTTCAAACAACTTTTCTTTCTTTTCTTTCTCCTTCATCTTCTCTGCCACCATTACCATCTCCCACTTTTCTTCCTTCTAATTTCACCTCCTGATTTTTCTAATACTCATTTGAAACAACAAGCAAGCAATTTCAAAAGAAAATAAACATCAACTTAGTTGGGTTAAGGATTCACAAACAAACCAAATTCAATAAAATATAAAGAAAACCATTAAGAAAAACACGTAATTCACCTACCCAAAATAAATATCGACTCTTCACTTCAAAATCAAATACTTTCAAAAGCAAACCGAGAGCAGAAATCAAAATCCACCCAGGAAGAAATTTTCTCATTTTCTCCTAAAAGGACCAGCAAATTGAGATGAGAAATTACACAAAAATTTATCATTTCCATAGTCATCTCCATTATCAAAGTTGAGAGCATAACTTTTAGAATCAAAATGAAACTATGTCTTCTTCTTTGAAGATTGTGTCTTCTTCTTTGAAGATTTGTCTTCTTCTTTAAAGATTTCTTGCTGTTATAACTTTTAGAATCAAACTGAAATAAAATCTTTTACCATAACAAAATGGTGACTACGGAGTATAACGGAGAAATAAGTGGATGAAACCTTTTCACCTCCATTGCCAGGCACTTACTCTCACTTCTCAGATTTCAGATAACATAAAAGGAATAAGGAAGTGAGACGTTTTTGCTAAAATAGAATAATTTTTTGTTTTAATGTAAATTCAAATTATGTGGAGTTAAAAAACACGTGTCAGGTTTTTATTTTATGGCTTTTACAAGTGGAAAGGCTTACGAACACGTGCCTTATTTTTATCATGGCCTTGGAAGTTTGTGTTTAATTGGGACACTTTCGTTATGTTGGAGTGTCTGATAGGAACAAGCTCCAGTTAAAGCGTTAAAATGAAAAATTGGGACAATTTTAGGGCCTGGATATGTATTTGGCCTTTGTTTTTCTTTATTCTTTATTATTCCCATCCCCTAAGGTTGGTTCGCACATACTGGTATCATCAACATATCATACCAGATCTAGAGGCCCTCCTCCTCCTCCTCCAAGTAACACGAGAAGTTGAGGGAAAGCTAATATGGATGACTTAAGTGGTATTCAAAAGGAAAATGCTGAGAATGCGGAAACTTCAGGCGGTCGAAGTACTCCGACACCAAATGACTTGGTTTTGCGGTTGGAACAGAAGATACTAGAGTTACAGGGAGAACTCGAGCAGGTCCGCAACTTAGCAAACCTCTTCCTCACCCTCAACGTCCCTGACATCAATTAACAAAATACAAAAAACCCAGCACCTCCCCAAGACACACCAAACCAACCTCCTCCCGCACCACATCAATATGAAACTCCACCTCAAAATCCCAATCCTTTACCAATACCAACTCCACCACTACACCATCATCAACAATCCAGTACCCACAAGCCACTACCTATCACACCCCTCATAACATACCATAACCTATTCCCAATGCTCAAAACTCAGCCAACGACCACCACCACACCCAAGTCCCTAACACTCACTAAAATAACCGTATGTATGTCGAAACCATACCTCACTCTACTCAACCAATCTCCTATACACCAGAATATGCTGAGAAGGACCCGCTCATCAAGAACATGGCCGAGGAACTCAATAAATTGACAAGTCGAGTTCAGGGTGTCGAAGGAGGTAAAGGGATAGAAGGTCTGAATTGTGAGGATCTATGCATACAATAGGACGTGGAACTGCTAGAGGGTTACAAACCTCCCAAATTCGAAATGTTTGATGGAACAAGTGATCCCAAGGTTCATTTGAGAACTCACTGTGACAAGCTCGTGGGGGTCGGAAAAGATGAAAGGATACGAATGAAGCTCTTCATGAGAAGTCTTACTGGAGATGCCCTGTCCTCGTACATAAGCCAGAACCCTAAGAAGTGGGACAATTGTGTGAGTATGGCATCAAAATTTATGGACCGGTTCAGGTTCAACACGGAGAATGCATCGAATGTCTTCTACAACTAGAATTTAAAGAAGAAACCAACTGAGACTTTCTACGAGTATGATACTCGATGGAGGTAAGAAGCATCCAAGGTCATACCAGCACTAGAAGAAGAAAAAATGAACAAGTTCTTCATCAGGGCACAAGATCCATAGTATTATGAGAGGCTAATGGTCATTGAGAATCACAAGTTCTCTAATATCATTAAACTCGGGGAAAAGATTGAAGAAGGTATCAAAAGCGGGATGGTAAAAATTTTTGAGGCACTACAGGCCACGAACAAAGCATTGCAATCATACGGCATATCAAAGAAGAAAGACGTGGGGGCAGTAATGGTGGCTCAAGGCCTAAAATCTCCACTCGCATACCAAACACCTCCACCCACATACCAACCCTCATCTCCCAGATATTCTCAACCTGCCATCACCTATCATACTTATAACACCAAGCCAGCCTACTATCATTCACCTCCAACTCGTCCAAATTACCAGAAACCCTGACCTAACTTTGATCGCAAACCACCCAGACAATACACCGCTATTGCTGAACCCATTGGCCAGCTGTATGGAAGGTTGAAGGTTGCTGGTTATGTCACTCCTATTCCTGTTGTGGCAGTGGAGAACTCATCTCAATGGGTCAACCCAAACAAAACCTGTGCATATCATTCCGGTATGAAGGGGCACACCATTGACGAGTGCCGAATATTGAAAGATAAAATCCACACATTATTGGACAACAAGGTCATATAGGTAAAGGAAGTTGTGCCCAACGTCTGCAACAATCCCCTCCAAGATCATAGGGGTGATTGGTACAAGTGATAGAGATGTATGAAGAATGGGATCCTGAAGGGGCAATCAGGCTTATTCAGGAAGGCAACGACTTTAAACCTGCAGTCACACTCACTCCTATTATGGTGCAGACGTAGTCATCAATCGAGGTTGAGGTAACCACATCAATTCCATTTGAGGTAGAGGTAGCCCCACCTGCAGCCACACTTGTTCCATTTGATGTAGAAGTGGTCACACCTTTCACAGTGACAGTATCAACTGTAGACATGTGATTTTTGACCCTCCCCAAGATTTTTTATATTTTAGCACTTAAATATTTAATTTAGGCCTAATATAGCTATTTCAACTCATTTTTACTCTTTTACCTTATTTTATCACAAGAAAATAAAACTTACAAAAATATTTTAGTTTACGCATTTTTCATGAATTTAAATAAAAATATACAAAAATAGTAGCTTATTTTTATTTTTATATATAATCTTGAAAATACAAAAATAGTTTCATTTTTAATATAGTTTAGTTTAATTAATCAAAATTAGTTTTATATTATAATTGTATATAATTTTAGAAGGAGGAATTAGTTTTGGGTTGGTTTATCCCGTCGTTATGAATCTTGTAGTCCATTTTTTCAGTCTTTGGCCCAATTTCCTGGCGCATAACTCCTAGGCCCATACCCCTAACCTAATCCCTACTACTATATAATAGTACTAACACCTAAAAGGAGAGGAGGAGATCAGATCTACCAAAAAGAAAAGGGGCAAAAAACTGCGCATAGCAGGAGGATTAAGAACCAAAAAATATAGATCCCTCCCCCATCGAGCTTCTTCTTCTTGAACGAGAGAGAAGAGAGCCACTGCTCATCTGCTTCTTCTTCAAGACCGATTATCGCAACAGGCCACTTTAAGCTTGCCGGAGAAGACTCGCCGTCGACCCCACCCCCTCGTCTTCGTCTTCTTCACGAGGACCTAAGCTAGGCGCTGATTTTCATACAAGACCCTCCCTCAGCGAATTTGATCTCCTTCCTCAGCCAAAATGATAGAACTCCCCATGGCTGTTTCTTCTTCTTCGATGAAACAAAACTACAGCCATCAACGACCACCTAGATCCGGCTGAACTCCAGTCATCTTCCTCACCATAAAATCCAGCTGAAGACCCCTTGAACCCCTTTTGTCTGTTTTCGAGCTCGTCGCCGATCGAGATTGTTCGACGTCGATTCTGATTCGAGCCCTGCTGCTACTCGAGGTTAGAGTTCGAGTTTCCGCTCAAGGTCGTCGAGGTCCGGACTATTGAGCTCATCAATCACAGCTTTGGCTTGGAGTTTTATTTTTCTACCCGTTGTTTCAAAAACACATTGCAGTTATAAAGGTCCATTCTGATATCTTTATTATTTCTCATATGTTGATAATTTTTATCATGATTATCGTGATATTTTCTAGTTGTGACTTAACCGAAATTTATAGTTCATCATAGTTTTTTGTTGGTTTTAATCATCTGGTTTTGCATTCTCGCTGAAATATTAGACCATGGATCCTATGCTGGAATGGAATGAAACTTTAGTTTTTGTTAAAAAGGGTATAGGGTATTGCCAATTGTTTAAGTGGGTGGTGGCCAATGATATTTAAATTGGAATCAGATTTTTACCATGGATGGTGTTAATCAAAGTTCAAAGATTGTTCTCATGTTTAAGACCACTCATTTTGTCGTACCATTTTTAGTGTAGCTCATAGCTTATTTTAAATGCTTTTACATGTTGAATGATTGATCTTGGTTGATCGTTATGTATCTTAAATGGTTGTTTGGCCATGGGCGATCCGATCTTGAAACATAATAATAAGGAGTCATGGGTTGTTGAATATTAATTAAAAGTAAAACTCGGTTCAACATGTTTTATTTAGTTCTACTTTGTTTTATCACTTTAATCGCTAGAAGTATGTATGACCCTCATTTAATTAATCTTGTTTATCCTTACAATTCGAGGCGTTCCATTTAGTTGAATCTCCACGGCCCTCGCATAGCTGCAAATGCGTTAGTTGCTTTGGGCGCGTATTTTAATAATATTACCTTCCTAAACTCGGGTGTGCATTTCATGTGACCCAAATTAAATCTTAAAATGTTGAATAAAATATGTTTAGGATTGCGGGTGCATTTCATGTTGCGCGATCCAAAGACGTGTTTTAAACGACGTTTAGTCTTCTTTAAAAATTAAATAAAAGCGGTTTGAAAGTTAAAATTGCACCATAGGTTAAAACATGTATTAAAATCAGATAATTAAGCTGAATATAACAGTTGAGCGACCGTGCTAGAACCACGAAACTCGGGAATGCCTAACACCTTCTCCCGGGTTAACAGAATTCCTTACTCGGATTTTTGGTTCGCGGACTGTAATACAAAGTCAATCTTTCCTCAATTTGGGATTTTAAACCAGTGACTTGGGACAACATAAATTATCCCAAGTGGAGACTCTGAATTTTTAATAAAATAATCCCGTTTCGATTGTCACTTTAAGTTGGAAAAAACTCCCTTATACTCCCTTCCGGGGGTGTAGGTAAAAAGAAGGTGTGACATCAACCACACCTCCTTTTAATTCCAAAGCCATACCTTGGGATTACGTTGTCGAAGTTTGGCGAAAGGGAAAGGCAAAGATGGAAGAATCTGATGCCACACAAGGAATGATCAGAATGGGAAGGATCTATACACCGGAACACTTGGGAGGATCAAGCAAAGAGGCTGCTACTAAGCAACCTATCATTGAAATGGGATCGGATGATCTTTGGAGGAAAGAACAAGCGAGAGAATACTCCGTCATTGATCATTTGAACAAAACCCCTACTCAGATATCCATCCTATCACTCTTGCAAAATTCAGAGGCACACAAGAATGCTTTGATGAAGGTGTTAAATGATGCTTATGTTCCCAACAATATCACCTGCGGAGAAATGGCCAACATGGTGGGGCAAGTGCTGGAAAGCCATAAGATCACCTTCCACGAGGATGAATTACTGCCTGAAAGGTTGAATCATAACCGGGCACTGCATATCACGGTACAATTTGAAGACAAATTCATTGCTAAAGTCCTGATCGATGGAGGTTCAAGCCTCAATATTTATTCGTTGAACACTCTGAAAAGATTGGGCAAAGGTTTCCATGAAATACGGGCAGGAAGTATGAACGTGAAAGCCTTTGATGGGTCTCAAAGGGCTAAAATTGGGGAGATTAATCTTTGCCTGCAAATGAGGCCAACTTAGTTTGATGTTGAATTCCAAGTGCTTGACATATCAGCTACATACACTCTTCTGTTGGGTCGACCTTGGATACATGCCGCTGGGGCTATGGCTTCCACACTCCTCCAGGCCGTGAAGTTTGAATGGAATTATTAGGAAGGATCATTCACGGAGATGAAAGTAACCCTATTTACACCCGTCAAACCATCCCGGTTATCGGGAATAGAAGAAGGCTAGGAGGAGAAACTTATCACCATATCGAACAAGTCAATGCAGTTGAGAAAGACAAATAGTGGCGTAACAAAATATAAAGCATACTGACATGGTCTGGGTATGAACCAGGCAAAGGGCTTAGGAAGAATCTCTAGGGCATTATCAAACCAACACAGCTAAAATGTCATGGTACAACCTTCGGGCTCAGATACTAGTATACATGGCAAGAGTATGATGATTGGTTACCTCCATGGCAAGGACCTTATTACCTTCTCGAGCAACCAATGCCACATCTGGGTCAGACTTTTCACCAGGCTGATAAAATATGGGGAACTACAGAAGAAAAAGCTTTAGCTGGGTTGAGGAATCTGTTCCTAGAGAACGAGGATATGTATTACGGTGCGATAATTGAGGAGGAGAAGGAAGAAGGCGTCACCATTCAGACTGTGGAGAAATGAGCTATTCTCAGGAACTAGGCTGTCACCATCCCGAGCCCACCGAGTCCCTGGGTAGCTTGGCACTTAGCCTAAATTATTTCCATAGCCATGCTAGGTATTTTAGATGTTTTCAATAATTTTGTTTTGTTTCAAAATAATTGCTCGATTCGTCGAGCCGTACTTATTTTGGATATTTTCAAATTTAATTAATGCATTGCTATTTATTATTCATTATTATCTTTCACATTTTTCTTTCTACAGCATTATTATTACTTTTCCTGATGAACCGATGACGGTGACATGTAATGAGACAACACAGCATAAGGATAGTGACTCGAAGGAAGAAGATGAAATACCTGAGGAAATTGTCCAAGAGGTCGAGAACTTTGAGAATAAGCTTAAGTCTAACCTGGACAAAACCGAAGCAGTAAATTTAGGAGACGTCGAAACCGTCAAGGAAACTCGCGTAAGCATTCACTTATCACTACCAGGGAAAGAGGAGTATGTTCATTTTTTGAAGGAATATGAGGATATCTTTGCATGGTCATATGATGACATGACTGGTTTGAGCACAACCATAGTGGCTCACAAGTTGCCTACCAATCCAATGTGTCTGCCAGTAAAGCAGAAACTCAGAAAATTCAAACCAAACATGAGCATGAAAATCAAGGAGGAGGTCATTAAGCAGATCAAGGCCAAAGTACTTAGAGTAGTTGAGTACCCAACCTGGTTAGCCAATATTGTACCAGTTCCAAAGAAAGATGGGAAAGTCAGAGTATGTGTCGACTATCGAGATTTAAACAGAGCAAGTCCAAAGGACGACTTTCCACTTCCAAACATACATATCCTGATCGACACTTGCACCAAGCATGAACTTCAATCCTTTGTAGATTGCTTTGCTGGTTATCACCATATATGGATGGATGAAGAAGACGTAGAGAAAATAGCTTTCATCACACCATGGGGAGTATACTTCTACAAGATGATTCCACTCGGTCTAAAGAATGCTGGGGCAACTTACATGAGAGCCATGACAACCATCCTCCATGATATGATACACATGGAAATAGAGATGTATGTTGACGACGTAATCATCAAATCCAAGATGGACGCATATCACATAGCAGACTTGAGAAAGTTCGTTGACAGGTTAAGGAGGACAACTTAAAACTAAACCCCGCAAAATGTACATTCAGGGTTCCCGCAGGAAAGTTGCTGGGATTCATTGTCAGCCGCCGAGGAACCGAGTTAGACCCGTCCAAAGTTAAGGCTATCTAGGAGTTACCACTACCAAAGAGCAAAAAGAACGTGATGGGCTTCCTAGGATGTCTCAACTATATCTGTCGTTTCATAGCACAGTCCATACTTATATGTGAACCCATCTTCAAAATATTGAGGAAAGATGCTGAAATAAGTTGGACCGAAGATTGTCAGTAGGCTTTTGAAAAAATCAAGGAATACCTATCTACACAGCCAGTCCTAGTCCCTCCAGAACCTGGGAGACCTTTGCTACTCTATCTATGTGTGTTATATGGAGCTTTCGGATGTGTTTTAGGACAACATGGCGAGATAGGGAGAAAGGAGCAATCCATATACTACTTGAGTCAGAAGTTCACACCCTATGAAGCATGATACTCTCTGTTGGAGCGCACTTGTTGTGCTTTGACCTAGACAACTCAGAAATTGAGGAATTACTTCTGTGCCTATACCATATACCTCATATCCAGTATGGACCCTTTGAAGTACATCTTTCAGAAGCACATGTCGACTGAAAAATTAGCCAAGTGGCAGATACTGTTAAGTGAGTTCGACATCGTCTATGTAACTCAGAAGGCGGTCAAAGGACAAGCATTAGCAGACCATCTTGCTGAAAATCCTGTGGGAGGAGAATACAAACCCTTGAAAATGTATTTTCACGATGAAGAAGTATCATTCGTAGGAAAGGACATTACTAAATCTTACGACGGTTGGAGGATGTTCTTCAATGGAGCTGCAAACTTCAAAGGAGTGGGCGTTGGAGCGGTTTTGGTATCAGAAACAGGTCAACACTACCCTGTATCTGCGAAGCTTAGGTTTCCATGAACCAACAACATGGCGGAATATGAGGCTTGCATCATGGGGTTCAATCTGGCCATCAATATGAATATATAGGAGTTACTGGTGATTGGAGATTCAGATATTCTGGTACATCAAGTTCAAGGAGAGTGGGCTAGGAAGAACACCAAGATACTACCATACTTGTATCATGTGCAGGAATTGATGAAAAGATTCATAAATATATAATTCAAACATGTACCTAGAATATAAAATGAGTTTGTAGACGCACTGGCTACTTTGTCATCAATGATACAACATCTAGACAAGAATTTCATCGATCCCATCACGGTGGGAATCCACAACCGGCCAGTTTACTGTGCTCATCTTGAAGAAGAAACGGATGGAAAACCTTGGTTCCACGATATCAAAGAATATTTGGCAAGAGGAGAATATCTAGAGCAAGCAAACCATATTCAAAAATGCACTTTGCGGAGGCTATCCAATCACTTCTTCCAAAACGGAGGGACCTTGTATGGAAGAACTCCTGATCTGGGGTTCTTAAGGTGTGTTGACGCAAAGGAAGCTTCCAGATTGCTCGAGGAGATACATGCCGGAACTTGTGGACCATATATAAATGATTTTGTCCTAGCCAAGAAAATACTCAGAGCTGGATACTTTTGGATGACCATTGCATTCGGTACGTACAACCTTTTGTCGCCTGGGGAATGGATGTCATTGGTTCGATCGAGCCCACCACTTCAAACGGGAACCGGTTCATTTTAATGGCCATCGACTATTTCACAAAATGGGTAGTGGCCGTATCTTACAAAGCTGTAACCAAGAAAGTTGTCGCGGACTTTGTCAAGGATTGTATTGTTTTCCAATTTGGAGTTCTCGAGTCCATTATCACTGATAATGCCACCAATGTCAACAGTGACCTGATGAAATCCATGTGCGAAACCTTTAAAATCAAGCATAAAAACTCTATAACATACATGCCTCAAATGAATGGAGTTATGGAAGCTGCCAACAAAAACATCAAGAAGATACTAAGGAAGATGGTAGAAAATCACAAATAATGGCACGAGAAGTTACCCTTTGCCCTATTGGGATACCGCACTACGGTCCGCACATCAACTTGGGAAAATCCCTATTTACTGGTTTATGGTACCGAAGTTGTCATTCCAGCCGAGGTAGAGATTCCTTCTTTAAGAATCATACAGGAAGTCGAACTCAGCAATGTAGAATGGATAAGGAGCCGCTATGAGCAACTGGCCCTCATAGAGGAAAAGAGAATGAATGCAGTATGTCACGGTCAGAATTATCAGAACAGAATGTCCAAAGCTTTCAATAAAAGAGTCAAACCAAGGCAATTCGCACCAGGACAGTTGGTACTGAAGAAGATCTTCTCGCATCAAGATGAAGCCAAAGGGAAATTCACTCCCAACTGGCAAGGTTCTTACATTGGTCACCGGGTGCAAACTGGAGGAGCACTCATACTTGCAAAAATGGGTGGAGAAATTTGGCCAAAACCAATCAATTCAGACTCAGTTAAGAGATACTATATTTAGACTATTTACATTTCTTCATCTGATGTAATTGAACTACGCTTGACCTGATTCTCGTTTAAGATGGGATACGTAGGCAGTCTTGTGGGTTCAGTCATATCTTAATAAAATTAACATTCTTAATAAAATTAACATTTTCCCCAGCACCAAAAATTGGGGCAGAATTTTGAGGACCCTCAAAATTCCGAAGCAAGTCTAGCCGATGCCAGCATATGCCAAACAGTCAGAAATTGGTTAAGAAACTGGGATAGAATTTTGAGAATGATTCTCAAAATTCCGAAGAAGGTTCAACAAGTTTCGTCACTCGCAAACGACCGAAGGATCATTTACCAAACTGGGGCAGAATTTTGAAAATCCTCCTCAAAATTCTAAAATAAGAAGAGCTGCAATGTCTCTGAAATGTGTTACGATCACTAGTTCATCCAAAATTACTTGATATTTCATTGTGAAAAATAACTTCATTTTTATCAATAAATGCATATTTTTGAAAACTCTATTTTTGTGACAGTTAGGTGCTACCCAGGGCAACTCAAACAAGGCCTCCAGAACGGAGCGAAGCAAAGCCAGCAAACGAAGGCACGAACCAACCTCCCCTTACAAAACTTAAAATTTTTCTTTGGATGCAGTCATGGTGAACATAACAGAAGCATTCGCAAACATACACATACCAAAGTCCTAACGATCAGGTTACCAGACACGAATACATCTCCAGATAAGAAGTATCCTATTCTTATTTGTTCTCTGCATGGGGCTAAGTATTACATCTCGCATTTTCGTACGTTAAAATTCGTTTCAATTAACTGACGTAGACTCGGGGATGAGATCATCTTGATGTTAACGTAGTTACGCCATTTATAACAAGTGATACATAAGTGTTATGAATGATAAAGGGGTACACAAATTAAAGAAAACAAGTTTCGTTGAAAGTGGCCAATTTGGAGTAAAATACGGGTCGAGCTATAATACCCGATAATTATGAACTAGTATCATGCAAGGTACCATATGACCACGATAGTATAATATATAAAGTACATATGAAGAATTTTAAAAATAAATAGAATTTTAAGTAATTTGTGGTAATTTTTAAATTATGCGAGTAATTGATGAATTACCGGATAAGGGGACATTACACAATTAACTAATAAGTGGGTAAAGATTAATAATCTTCACCCACCCTCCCACGTGGCATAAAGACACAATGGCTAAACATGACTCATAAGTCATTAAATCTATGTGGCCACCTAAGGTATAATGTAACTTTAGTAGGAATCTTATTTCATTTAGGATCAGAACATGGATCATGTGGTTAGAGTATTAACCTTAGCTCAAAAGAAGTGTTGAAGCAGAAGCAAATTTCATTTCAAAACAAGCTTCACTTTGTGTCTTTGACTTCATTTCATTTTGTGTCTTTAGCTTCAATCTATTCTTGGTTTGAAACCAAGAACGTGAACATGAACCATTTCGTCCAAACTTCAACAAATCAAAGCAAGATTTCGTTCCTCAATTACAAAGCGTAGAAGCTTAATCCGATTTTTAGGTTCTAAGTTCAATCTACGAAGGTTTCCAACAGAATATTATACGGAGTTTTTCCTACTCCAGGCATGTTAAGGCCATCCCTTCTTTCTTTTGGCATGGTCCGAATTATACAGAAGAAACGAGCAAACACACAGTTTCCATAAATTACTCTGTTCATAGAAATACTAGGGGTGTCTATATTTTTGATTCGCCATGAGAATTATTATTATCTTCTGTTCATGGGTCTCAGAATAATAGGCAGTTGAAAAAGTTTATCCGGAAGGAATATTGAGATTATTACGTATTTTTCATGCATTTCACTCATTTATACATGTGCATTGACCCATGACCAGATGGCGTTATATATGTGTATATATGTAAATATATGTATATGGGATATGGAAAAATGTTACGGCGTTATATATGCACTACCACCTGATCAGCAGGTATATGTTGATGATGTTGCCCATAGTGGTCGAGACGATATGATGGGATGACCTCAGTGGCTTGATGATATAATGTACACCCATACCTATGCATGGTATGACATTTATACGCACGTGCATGACATTATAAACGTTTCAGAATTTATAAAGTTACTAAGATTTAAAGATGTGTTTCTTTATTCCATGTTTTATCTATGTCTTTTACGTACTAATTTTCATGCCTTACATACTCAGTACATATTTTCGTACTGACTCCCTATTTCATAGTGTCTACATTTCGTGCCCGCAGGTGCAGGTCGGCAAGCTGACGGTCCCCCTTCTTAGGATCCCTGATCAGCGAAAATTGGCGTGCTCCACTTGATTCGGAGCTGCTTTTGATTTTGGTACGATACATTTATATATATATATATATTATATGGGTATGACATGGCTCGGTCTCGTCTTTGTACAGTTATGATACTTTTAGAGGTCTGTAGAAAGAATGTCTAGTTGTGTTGTATGTGGCCTTGTCAGCTTTCAGTTATTGGATATGGAGTTGTCTATAGCAGCCTTGCCGACTCGCCCACTGTATTTTGCATGTATAAGTACATATGCCTTGTTGGCAGGTTTCCTTCATGTATGTTATCTTCGTAGTTCAACAGATGTTATACAAGTTCATATCTTAAATGCATGCTTATGGGTGTTTGATAGGTAGGACTCAGACACCCGTCGCGACCATAGGTTTGGGTCGTGATGAAAGTGGCATCAGAGTAGTTCGGTATTAGGGTTGTCTCCAGACCGTGTCTAGTAGAGTCTTGTTTATGGGTGTGTTGTGCACCACACTTATAGACTGGAGGCTACATGACATATAGGATGTTATCCTCTCTTCTTATCTTAGATTGTGCAATATAAGCATTAATGTTCCTAACGACGTGTTATGTTTTCAGCGATGCCTCCGAAGACTACAGCCGCTAGCACAGGTCAGAAGTCTAGGAAGGTGTTAGAAAGAGAGATAAGTTATACCATGGATTCAGACCCATCGGAGATCATGGGTTCTGTTGAGGAGGATCCATCCGAGGATCCATATGAGTCATCCATTCGAGTTTTTTCGACCACTTCGGTAGTAGATAGGGTGAGAGGAGTTCCAACCTCACCAAGGCCCTTAGATTTACAGCCTGTTGATCAGGGTATGAGGGGAGTAGTGTATGGATTGGCACAACCGAAATTCTCTCAGGCTCAAAACTATGTCAAGGTATTTGAGGACACCAGCTCTTCTGAGGTTCCGGATAGTCCACAGTCTTGGGAGTCCATCAATCAAGGTTCGCCGTGGTATGTTATGGGATACGCAGAAGAAGAAAATAGTAGTCGGGCCAAGAGGAGGAAGGTAACTGATAGGGACATGAAGATTCCGTTTCGAAGTGTGTCCGATCGAAGTTCTTATATAGGACAAGGCAAGTACCCTCTACTATAGACTTCCTTCAAGTGTCAGTTTTTGGTTGGTGAGTTCCACCTCTTCTTGGAATATTACCAAGTTAGGGTTCTAAATGTGTTTGGTTGTTTTATGAGGATGTAGGGAGCCCCGTCCCGGCTTGTATATATATTATGGTTATTCCTACTTAGAGGTTTTACAGACAATATCTTGTATATAGTTTTGGGTATGATATGTCTACGGCCTAGTCGACCCCTATGTATATAAAACTTTTTCTAAATTAGTTATGCGAGTTAAGTCTTAATATTGTTACTTATATATATGGATGTCGCCATAATGGCCTGTGATAGATTTGATAATAAACAAGGATAAGGTATGTGGTGTTCGGTTGGGTAGAACTTAATATTATAATAGGTAGGGATTGGTTGGCTTTTTGTTATGCTAACATCAAGTGTAGGTCAAGGATGGTTTAATTTCAGTCCCCAGGAGAGCCGGTTTTAGAATGGGAAGGTAATACGACATCACCCAGAGGTAAATTTATCTCCTATCTCAAGGCAAGGAAGATGATCAATAAGGGCTGAATTTATCACTTAGTTCGGGTTCTAGATATGGAAGTAGGGTCACCAACCATTTAGTCCATCCCATTGGTTAATGAGTTTCCCGATGTTTTTCCCAATGAACTTCCAGGTCTTCCGCCAGAGCAAGAAATTGAGTTTGTCATTGACCTACTACCAGGTACTCATCCAATATCTATTCCCCCTATAGAATGGCCCCCACAGAGCTGAAAGAGTTAAAGGAACAACTAAGGGACTTGTTTGAAAAAGGTTTTATAAGACCTAGTACGTCACCATGGGGAGCACCTGTGTTGTTTGTGAGAAATAAAGATGGTTCCTTATGAATGTGTATTGATTATAGGCAACTGAATAAGGTGATAATCAAGAATAAATACTCGCTCCCGAGAATTGATGATCTATTTGATCTGTTATAAGGTGCCAAGTGTTTTTCAAAGATAGACCTGAGATTCGGGTACCATCAGGTAAGGGTTAAGGATAAAGATATTCCGAAGACAACATTCAGAACTAGATATGGGCACTTTGAGTTTCGGATTATGTCGTTCGGTCTGACCAATGCCCCAGCAGTATTCATGCATTTGATGAACCGTGTGTTCAGGCCTTTCTTAGATCTGTTCGTAATTGTATTTATCGAGGATATATTGGTATATTCTCGTTCAGAGGATGAGCATACAGATCATCTACGTACTGTTCTTAGAGTTCTACAAGAAGGAAAGTTGTATGCAAAATTTTCTAAATATGAATTCTGGTTGAACTCTGTAGCTTTCCTTAGGCATATTATTTCGAGTAAAGACATCCGAGTGGATACACAAGAGACTGAGGTAGTGAAGACTTTGCCTAGACCCACAACACCGATGAAGGTTTGTAGATTCTCCATTTGGCAGGTTATTACAAGACTCTTGTAACGAAATTTTCTTCTCGTCTAAGCACATTTGACCAAAGTGGTATGTGGTGTCTTCCTTGATGTTCTAGAATAACATAAGGAAATCTATGGTGCAAGCAGGTTGAAGAAAGGTTGAGAATAAGTATAAATAGATATGTGTAGGTCACAAGCTAAAGTATGATAAAGCGACAAGGTTTTAGGAAGACAAGAGGAAAGATAAGAAAAGATGAGTGAAAAAGGTAACGAGAATGGATAAGTCATTTGGGAATAAGTTCATAAGAAAGCTGATGATTTCTCTAAGTTACAGAAGGCTCAGTATAGCCTGAAAGAATTTAAAGGAGTCTAAGACTAGTAACATTTAGAATAGATGAAATACTACCCTAATAGTGGGATAAGGGCGTAATTGTGATGGATAAGGGATGAAGTTTTGGCCTCCGAAAAGGGGAATTTCCTGAATTGTAAAAAAAAATAGGATACCCATGTAAGTTAACTCAGAAGGGAACTAAGTTTCAATGGACCAATCCTTGCGAACGGAGTTTCCAGGCATTGAAGGATAGATTAACTTCAGCACCAGTTCTACCGCTCCCAGAAAGGACCGATGGTTATGTTATCTATTGTGACGCTTCAAGCGTGGGATTAGACCGTGTGCTGATGCAGCTTAGTAAGGTTGTATCTTATGCTTCTGGACAACTAAGTAAGCACGAGAAGAACTACCCGACCTACGATTTAGATTTAGCCTTGGTGATTCATACACTAAAGACGTGGAGGCACTACTTTTATGGCATTCATGTTAGTATCTATGCGGATCATAAAAGCCTCCAGTATATCTTCAAAAAAAAGAAGAAAAGAATTGAATTTACGTCAAAGGAGATGGTTGTAGCTACTTAAAGATTATGACATTGATATTTTATTCCATCCGGGGAAAGTGAACGTAGTAGCCGACGCCCTTAGCCGTAGATCTATGGGTAGCCTGTCATATTTACAGCCAAAAAAGGGGAATAGCCCATAAGGTTCATCAGCTAGCTAGTCTTGGAGTTCAGTTACTGGACTCAGGTGTCATTGGAAATACTCTTCAGGATACGACAACATCCTCTTTAGTAACTAAAGTAAAGGAATTCCAGTACGAGGATTCTGTGTTAGTTCATTAAAGGGATACCACGCTTCAGAAGGAGAAGACACCGTTTGAAATTACAGAAGATGGGGTCCTCAGATATCGAGGACGATTAAGTGTGCCTAATGTTTTAGGGCTGCGCCGACAAGTTATGGGAGAAACTCACTATTCTCATTCATCTATCCATCTAGGAGCAACAAAGATGTATCATGATATCAGGGAAGTGTATTGGTGGGACGAAATGAAAAAGGATATAGCAAAGTTTGTTGCTCAGTGTCCTAACTATCAGCAAGTTAAAATTGAGCATCAGAAACCCGGTGGGTTATTGCAAGCTGTGGGGATTTCGACTTGGAAATGGGAAGTAATCAATATGGACTTCATCGTAGGCTTACCTCATACCTAGCGCAAGTTCGATTCGTTATGGGTGATTGTTGATAGGCTTACAAAGTCAGCCCATTTTTTTCCCGTTAGAACTACATATTCCCAGAGGATTATGCAAGGCTTTATATCAATGAGATAGTACGACTGCATGGTGTCCCTGTATCTATTATCTCAGATAGAGGAGCTCAATTTACAGCTAACTTTTGGAGGTCATTCCAAAAAGGATTGAGGACTTAAGTAAGTCTTAATACAACATTTCATCCCTAGACAAACGGATAGGCTGAGCATACTATTCAGTCACTGGAGGATACGTTACGAGCTTGTGTAATGGACTTCAAAGGTAACTGGGATGATCATCTGCTGCTTGTTGAGTTCGCATATAATAATAGCTACCATTCCAGTATTCAGATGGCTTCATACGAAGCTTTATACGGACGGAAGTGTAGGTCGCCTCTAGGGTGGTTTGATGTTGGAGAATCTGGATTACATGGGCCAGACCTAGTTCAGCAAGTCATAGAAAAGGTAAATTTGATTTGGGATTGACTATTGACAACTCAGAGTCGTTAGAAGTCATATTCTGATGTGCAGCGTCGGGATTTAGAGTTCGGGGTTAATGACGGTGTATTCTTAAAGGTGTCACCTAAGGAAAGCTTAGCCCACAGTATATTGGGCCTTATAGGATCATTCGGAGAGTGCACCAAGTAGCTTATGAGTTAGTATTTCTCTCGAAATTGGAGTCTATTCATCTGGTTTTTCACATATCTATGTGACGTAAGTGCATTGGCGATCCTACCTGAGTGGTGCCCACGAATGATGTACAGATTACAGAGGACTTGTCATACGAGGAAATTCCGGTTGCCATTCTAGATCGACAAATCTGTAAGCTACGGAATAAGGAGGTAACCTTTGTGAAAGTACATTGGAGGAACAACAATGTGGAAGAAATGACTTGGGAGGCCGAGCAAGACATGAAGTCTAGATATCCCTACTTATTTGCTCCTCCAAAAAAGGGTTCGACTGAGACGTCATAACCTCAAGGTGCGTGTACGAATTCTTGTGCTAGCTAATGTTATTGGTCGTGTGAGGCCATCGTTGTTATTAATGATTGTGGTCCTATGTGGCGTTAAATTACTGGGTTTCTATAAGAGGAGTTGGTAGTAGCATTGTTACAAAGGCGACTCTACCAAGGTTATATAAATCCTGGAGAGTTAAACATTCGAGGACGAATGTTTCTAAAGAGGAAAGATATTACATCTCACGTTTTCGTACGTTAAAATTTCATTTTTAGTTAACTGACTTAGACTCGGGGATGATATCATCGTGACGTTAACGTACTTACGCCACTTATTACAAGCAATAAATAAGTGTTATGAAGGATAAAGGGGTACACAGATTAAAGAAAACGAGTTTCGTTGAAAGTGGCCAATTTGGAGTAAAATACGGGTCGAGTGATAATACCCGATAATTATAAACTAGTACCATGCAAGGTACCATATGACCACGGCAGTATAATATATAAAGTATATATGAAGTATTTTAAAAATAAATAGAATTTTAAGTAATTTGTGGTAATTTTTAAATTATGCGGGTAATTGAATAATTACCGGGTAATGGGACATTACCCAGTTAACTAATAAGTGGGTAAAGATTAATAATCTTCACCCACCCTCTCACGTGGCATAAAGCCACAATGGCTAAACAGGACTCATAAGTCATTAAATCCATGTGGTCACCTAAGGTACAATGTAACTTTAGTAGGAATGTTATTTCATTTAGGATCAGAACATGGATCATGTGGTTAAAGTATTAACCTTAGCTCAAAAGAAGTGTTGAAGCAGAAGCAAATTTCATTTCAAAACAAGCTTCACTTTGTGTCTTTGACTTCATTTCACTTCGTGTCTTTAGCTTCAATCTGGTCTTGGTTTGAAACCAAGAACGTGAACAGGAACCATTTTGTCCAAACTTCAACAAATCAAAGCAAGATTTCGTTCCTCAACTACAAAGCACAGAAGCTTAATCTGATTTTTTGGCCCTAAGTTAAATCCACGAAGGTTTCCAATGGAATATTATGCGGAGTTTTTCCTACTACAGGTATGTTAAGGCCATTCCTTCTTTCTTTTGACATGGTCCGAATTATACAGAAGAAACGAGCAAACACATAGTTTCCATAAATTACTCTGTTCATAGAAATACTAGGGGTGTCTATATTTTTGTGATGACCTTTGGGTCATCATTTGTTTTAAAATGAAATTTCCATGTTCTAAGTCATTGAAAACCTCATTTAGAGCCACCTCGATTTGCGTGTACAGTCCGGGCGCGTAGCCGAAAAGTTTAAA